ACAGTATTCCTAACCAGTTTATATGAGTTATAAACAAACATTATATTCTCAACTTGGCGTAAAGAAACCAGTGACTTATCAATACTTATCCTGAACTAAAACCAATCATTAATTTTTGAAGGGTAGGTTGCCCCTTTAACATGTATTGAACCTCGCAGCTAGCCTCCCACGCAGACGCAACGCGTGACGAAGCCCCAAAGAACGTCTGCGTTAGAGGCTACCTCGTAGCTTATGTGAAGACGTCTCCCATTTCCCTTTTACGCAGGCCACGCACCTCGGAACGCACCTATCCACCGTTTTATTTCTGGATTGTTTGTCTGGAATGTCTCCGTGGATATCGCAAATTGTGTGTTTTCTTTTTTATATTTATAGCTTCATTCTGCACTATCTAACCGAGAGCAAGTTTTGGTGGACAAATTGCATAGTACATTTCAACACAAGGTATCCATCCTATCAGAGCAGCAGGACCGTTTGGGAGAAAACCAAGCATTTTTAGAGGATGCACTCCAACGGGCAAAGTCCTCTATCCAATCTCCGAGCGATGTTCAGTTCCTACTCAGCAGGTCGGATATAGTCTCCACGCTCGAGACCGAAAAATGCTACTCAATAGTGCTTGAGCCAGAGGCACAGTTTATGACAGAGTTCACCAAGAAAGAAGAGAAGGGAATGGTGAGAATTCAAATTTTTATTTTAGTTATCCATGAATTAGCCTGGGACACAGACTAACGGTTTTCTTCGAGCGCCATTCTTTTCTCCGGGATGAATAGTCTCCGGCAGATGTTCTTTACATAGCAGTTGTCATCTACCCTGGTCCCAGACGTTTTTCTCAGTGAAAATTTTCTCTGCGCAAGAGAGAACGAGCTACACTAAAGCGGCGATTTCGGACCAGGGAAGTTTCCATTCGTCGAGTAGTATTTATTCCTGTTCTTGCTAGTATGTTTTTAGGTAGCCTGCGAGCAAGCTTTACTATTTGGGCGAGTGAAGCGAGTCTCGCGAGGACGCGCGAGCGAGCGGCGAAGCCGCGAGGGGCAGAGGAAAGGCCCCTCGCTCGCGCGTTCTCGCGAGGCTCACTTCGCTAGCCCAAATTGGAGAGCGTGCTCGCAGGCTAGTTTTTACTGAGGCCGTAGTTAAGATGTTTCTTTTTCGCAAAACGCTCTACCAAAAGAGCCTAAGCTGAGCTAACACAACCTCTTCCCCAAGGCTTCGCGGTTGTCAACCTTTTTTTACAGTTATCCCGCACCATTGATGCCTTTTTTGGGGGATATCGCAAATGTCGTCTAAATTTGGTCAACGTTAACTAGTTCTGAAGAATTTGCCAAGGATTTGAGCCAATCAGAAACGGAGAAATATTAATCTCTTTTTACAATATGGTGGATGCAACGCGCGTTGCTTGTGTTGCAGTCACTCCACACCGCCTTTACAGACTATATCAATGGTTAAGACGATGCGTGGGCCAGCTGCAACGCAGGCTATTTGAGCACAGTGATTGGTCGTTGCCCTTGATCTTTTTTAGTGCAGACACACCAAAATGCATATCTAAGTTCACAAATATATTTCTCTGCGAACTCATCCAATAGTTGCTTAAAATGTGGTTGTCTTAAGTCAGTTATATTTCATAAAACCACAGGTAGCCCAAGCTCGAAATATGAGCATCGGCGAGCATCGGCATTGTTGCGTAACATTCAAAATATAAGGATTTGTATGGAAAAAAAACCTCTCGTTTCTCTAACCTACGAAAATGAAAGGACTTCAGTAAAGAAAAACAGCTTAGCTTACTTAAAATGTGTGTTACGTCTCTCCTGTGTGGTCCACGGGCCGATTTATGGCCGTCTTATGGGTTTTTATGTGAACGGTTCTCTCCCTATAAAGGTAAACCTTTATATAGAGAGAAAACTGTTCACATAAAAACCCATAAGACGGCCATAAATCGGCCCGTGGACCACACAGGAGAGACGTAACACACATTTTAAGTAAGCTAAGCTTTTTTTTATTGAAATCATTTCATTTTCGTAGGTTAGAGAAACGATAGGTTTTTTTTCCATACAAATCCTTATATTTTGAATGTTCCGCAACAATGCCGATGCTTAGACTGTTCACAGTCCCCTATTTTTCGTGAGATCGTCTAGATATACCGCGTCTTACGCCCTCGCCCCCTAAGTAGTTTTGACACTCATGCAAGATGGCAGTGCGTAACGCAAAGCGCTCGATCTCGATGATCTTACGGAAAAATAGAGGACTGTGAACAGTCTAGCCGATGTTCGCCGATGCTCATATTTCGAGCTTGGGCTACCTGTGATAAAACTGCTAAGAAACAGAATTCTCGGTTTGCACTGTCACGCAATGAAAAATAAAAATTGTAAACCATTCAATACAGAAGGTCTAGAATCTGGGAAATGAAAGAAGATAAATATACAAAAAGCTTGCCAAGAATCAGGTCTGTGCAATATTTCAAATGCGAGATATTCGGAAAAACGTTTTACCTAAATTTATAAAGCTTTGTAAGGAAACGCCATGAATATGGCCGCCGGATACCAACAGAAACATCTGTTTTCGAGTTTTCGTACTAATGCGTGAATTCTGCGCTTGAGGAACTCGTAAAGATTAAAGTGATGTTTATTCTGAGACAAGGAATGTTTAGATAGCAAAATCTCCCAAAATCGGTAATGTTTTTAACCCACATAAGAGCTTTCCCGGCCGCCAGCTAAATGCCGCGTCACGGAAAAGCCTGGAAATTCAAGCGTCCTCTCTTGCAAAACGAAGAACCCTTTGGAACCAAAAATTTGTTTATATAAAGGTGTTTAGGTACTGTAATACCTCGTGAAAGTAGAAACTCACAAGAATCGATAGTTTCTTAGTTTGATTTTTAGTGACGTCACGTGCAAACCAAGAATATCAGGTGAAAGATGAATAAGCGTGCGGAGTAAATAGTTGCGTTCGAGGTGCGAGAACGCAGGCCCTAATTTGTGTTGGGTGTTCTGTGCATTATTGGGTGTCCTGTGCAATTAATTAGGGACGATTTTTTGAGATTGCATTTTCGTCGTCGACGCACATTTGCCTCACTTTGAGGCGCTTGCTTACGTTTTGCCTCACTTTGTCGCGCTAACTCATGTGGCGATTCTTCTGTCCTCGGCGTTCATCTTTCAAAGGTTTGCTGAGGTCTGATATTCTGTCTTCGTAAAGCGTTCATCTTTTAAAAAGTTTGCTGAACCTTCGTAAGGCGTACATCAATCTACGGTTTGCTGAATCGTGCAAAGCGTTCATCTTTCAGAAGTTTGCTGTTAAATTTTACTTTGGATTAAGCATTCATATTTTTTAGCATGGTTCGTCACTGTCTTTGGAAAATGTCTACGACTCCTGGTGCATGCATCAAACCGGGTTTAGTTCGACGGCCGTTGTACCACAAAGTAAATTTACCGAGTTGTGTAGCTCGGCGGCCGTTGTGTCACAAAGTAAATCTACCGAGTTGTGTAGCTCGGCGGCACCATTTGATCATTACTTGTGATATTTTCGGCACCGGACAAACGAACACTTTAACTCTATGTTATTTATTAGGGGTTAACTTATAAACCAGCCCACAGTAGGGCCACTTTCGAGTCATTGAAATCAACACGCTCGACCAATTACCGGAAAAGTTATTGACGTGAGCCGCACACACATTCCATTGAAGGCTTTGACAGGGTTAGTGCGAAGCTTGAATTCAGATGTGAAGCTTTTAAAACAGTAACTTCAATGTAATTCATTTTGTCAACAAGTTGATGATTGGATGCTCTTAAAAATAACAGAGAAAATTATCCGAAGAAATGTTTTTGAAGAAAGAAAAAGAATCCCGGGTTAAGCACTAATCGGCCTTTGAGCAACTGCGCCCTGTAACTCGCGCCGGTAAAACAAAATGTTCTATTTACACGCCCGACGCACTCTGGCCAATGTCTCCTCCGATTACAAACACTTGCACCGAACCATACGATATCTTTTCAAAACCTTCTTATAATGATACACAGTTTAAATAGAGGTTTCGCTGTACGCAACCTTTACGTTCAAAATATGCCGTAATCATATTTATCTATATCGCAACCATCCTTTCCCCTCAACAGCTACCTGTACGCCTAACAAACATATCGAACGCACTCTCCTAAGCTCCGATTACTCCTAGTTTATTAGTAAATGAGCTTTTCAAAATTAAAGTTGTAAAGACAATAAAATAGGCAAACTCACTGCGATGATCTCTTTCAGCCTATGTTAATGCGCGGTTCCAACAACAGAATAGAGGCGGTTATCCAGAGCGCAGGCGACCTCAGTGACATATCAACCTGTGCAGCAAACACTACTGCAACTGGTCCGGGAATAAGAACTGCAAATCCTGGAAGGAAAGCGACATTCACTATTACTTCTCACGACAGCCGAAACTTTCAACGCAAGCGTGGTGGCGACGTTTTTGTGGTGAAACTGAAACCAGAGGTGGGCGGAGATGAAATAAATGTAGAGTTAAACGACCAAAAGGATGGAACTTACTTGGCAGAATATACTGTCCACAAGTGGTATGGTGAAATGACATTGTCGGTAGTCTTGCGAGGTGCACACATCAAGGACAGTCCTTTTTCTGTGCGAGTTGAACGTCTAAATCCTCCTCCTCGGGCTTCTGAACTGTCTCTCAATGCGCTGGGAAGAAAATACTATGATTACTGATCCTCATAAAATTCTGTTATTCTCTCTCTGCATTAAATCAACGATTGCAGTCTTTAAGATGTCAAAACAGCTGTCTCAGGAAAACGGGGGCGGCCCTCTTTGTCAGCAGAGAAATTATCAAGGGTAATATATACTAAACGCCCTACATAAAACAGGCTGAAATTTTTAATATTGCAGCCTGCACGCTGCAATATTTTTGTTTTAGGAGTTTGATGTGTACAGTGCACTATACCTGATAATTTAGAACGTTGTCAACAGCACCGTTTGGGTCTAACTTTCGTTCATTGCAAGTCAATTTTTTGTTTCTAAGTGCCACTTTAATTAACTTTCAAACAGTGAACATAAATGGAATCACGGAGACTGATAGTATGGTCAGCGCAGTTTATTGTATTAAGAAGTATTATAGTCATAAGTTTATTTATACGAAATAACATTTTTAGTGCAATTAGTGCTAACAACTCGTCGGACATCTCATCTATATCTTCTTCAACTACTGGCTCGCCACTGTAATCTTGTTTCAAAACCGCTTCATTTCTCTGCTTCTTCCATTCCTCAAATACTTTCAGAACCCGCGCCCATTTCCGGTGGCTGGCGTCTGATACCCAGCTTTTGTCAAACTTCTCGCATCCTGAAGCTGTAATTGGCGTTCTAAATCTTTGCTCTATTTTAAAAAGAAAATGGAAACGCCGCCTTTAGAGGTAGATAAAGAATTAAAGCACTGCCAGAAATGACTACACGTTACACGCGATTACCTTCGATTTCTGCTGAAATATCATTGTTCATAGAGCTCTGTGTGATAAATAATGCTTCGTCTTCCGAGTAATCCATCGTCTTTCAAAACTGATCATGAGGTTTGCACTAAGTAGAATCACTGAATAGCAATTCTGAATAGCCCAGTTTACAGTTACAGTTGGAAACGAGGCTGGAGTTGACCTTGTTTTGATACAACCCTTCTTGCTTTATTATGTAAATCAAGTTATTGTGCTAACTAGTATTTTTAAGCAAAATTTACATAAGAAAAGGAAGGAAGGAGGTTTGTATCAAAACAAGGTCAGCCTCAGCCTCACGTTCACTCAAAGGCTAGGACACCAAGCCCACAACTGTAAAGTGGTCCATTCTCTGGGTTATAAAGTATGCAAATTTGCAGTGTTACACGGCTTGCACATGTTAATTTCCTTGTTAGAATTGTTTTGAACAACCATAACAATGAACTACCATAACAACCCACGGCTTCACTGAAATCGAAGATTCGTCACAAACAAGGAACAATAGGATTTGATGAGCATCACAATTATCACACATACGTGCGACTAAAATCGAAGATCCATCATAGACTGAAACAACAATAGGATTTCAAAAGGATCAATAATTATAATGGATGATTACTTCGGCGCATGGCATTATGAGAAATATTGCAGACGGCAGACTCAAGGAATTTTTTTGTTATGCGCGAATGAAAGATTTAGGATGTGCAATGGACTCGCAAGGAATTGTGGTTATGTGCGAATGGAAGATTTAGGATGCGCAGCAGAGTCGCAAGGAATTGTGGTTATGCTGGAATGGGAGATTTAGGATGCGCAGTGGATTACCACGTGCTTTCTTCTTACACTGATTTTCAACTGCAATTTGCAATCTCCTTGAGGTATAGAGATAAAAGGTCTAATTAGGAAACAAACAACTTTGTACGTGCTGCATACTTTTGCAGTTGGCCGACACTTGTCGACCGAGAACCGAAGGCATTCATAATGAATTCATTATAGTTGATGCCTAGGCAGAATGAAAGCAACTTTCGAAACCTCTGTATATTTGGGTTGGTTTTCGGAGAACAGAGTACGCTCAAGACCAGCAAAATAACATAGCATATGGACAAAGAATTAGCCTCACTGGAGCAAGCAGCCGTTTTATATCTTTCAATCATATTTTCTATTGGCCAGAACCTCTTAAGAACCTTTAATTTGATAGGTTTTTGTTGGCCCGAAGCTCCATTGTTTCAGAGTTGGGGTTCATTGTTAGTTTTGTTTGAGTTAGGGCTATCTATTCTTTTCTAAACCAATCCTGTGAGCCGTTCTTAGAGCTTCTGGACCACCCCATATTTTCACAAAATGCAATATTTTATATTACAGCCCTGAGAATAGTGATTGGAGTTTACGGTTAGCTTCTAGTTTGGGTTGGAGTTTTCGCCATAACATTTGAATAAAAGCACCATCTTGCTCGAAACCACGGTAGTCTAATGGTTAGAATATAGTCGTATGCAGACCCCATGCTCCGCGATCAAATCCGCTTATATTAGAGTGAATTTTTTGTTTTTAGTTGAAGCGACTTACACTATGACAACATTGTTGATCATAGAAACTAAGGCCCGGTTCAGACGCCGAACTTTTCATGAGCCGAACCTAATACATTGAATTAAGCACATGGAAAGTTCGGCGTCTGAATCAGTTAGGAACGCCTGTTTCAATTTGGAACGGCTCAGCCGTTCTCTTCAGCTAGCCCGAAATTTCGCCTTTGGAGCGACTTTGGAAGGGCTTGTAATTCAGACGCCCAACTTTTCATGTACTGAACCTAATGCATAAATTATTATAACGTATTTTGTAAGTAGTTTGACCGAAATGAGCATTCTTCGCCTTTTGAACCTAGTTCAGCTGCAATTAAGATCGGCGTCTGAATCGATTCAGCCGGTCTTTATAACACCTTGGGTCGGCCTTAATTCGAATAAGGGTCGGGTCATGAAAAGTTCGGCGTCTGAAACGGGCCTAAGTTTCTCAGTGTATTCTAAATCGACGTTTGATCGTTTGTTCTGGCTGGGATTCTTCGATTTGTCCGAAAATTATTAAAAAATATCGGATTTACCCGTCATTTAGTGTTTTGAAAATCTTGACCGGTTACCGGCCATATAGCCGCAGCGTTTTTTTCTTTCCAAGCAAATTTCCCTCTGTGCCTAAGAGGGAATCCCACAAACAGCATTAGAGGTACGAACCCGCAATTTATGTGTCGTATTTATCAATAATTGAACATAACTGCCCTCCCAAATTGTTTAAATTGGCATTTGATTCGTGAAATGGTTACTAGTCCAAGTTAATGTGTGTTTTCCGTTGTCGTTTCTCTATCTTGTAGCGAAGATCACAGTCGAACAAAGACACATGACATAAACACAGTCTTTAACTCAAGAATTTTAAGTTTCTTGGAAATCGCTCGATTTTTGTGCGAACAGAAAGACATTTCAGTTATTCAGTTGAAAGCGAGAATGATTGAACTTATATTATCCGGCCCCTTTAGGTCATCATAAAGATGTGGGATAGCCCTCTTAGCCTCCATTCCTTCATTGTTTCTTGCCTACGGCAGCATTTCTAGCCTTTAGGTATACTAGTGTTACCATTTAAAGGAACCCCTCCCCAAGTAACGTACGTCATTTTGCCTCACAGTGATCTCATTCAGCAGTCGGGAGCCAATCGCAATAAATGGTATATATTGTTTTACAACTCGTAGCGCTTGACTCTCACTTTAACGACTCTAAACAAGTGTTGAGTGTTGCACATAAGAGGAAGGTGCAGGGGGGGACAAAATTAACCTGATTTACTGCGGACAACAATAACAGCAAACTTTATTGTTAATAAAAATTTTTAAAATAAATAAATAAATAACGATTTAGAGGTTACACTTCCACATAGTGGTTCTTCGTCTACCTGATCCCTGGTTCGAATTGAAATTTGGAAATATTGGTTTTTGAGCAAAGGAAAAAACCGACTGTCGACAGCTATTCGACGCAGGTAGTGCATGCAAAATAAGAAATTACGATTAATGCTCATGCATTGGGAAGGGTTGAGTGAATAAAATCGTAATATTTTTAACAGTAGTTATAAGTGAATAAAATTTTAGCCTGAGTAGCAAGCGTTTCCAATCGAGTTATTGCGCGAAATTTAGAGCGGGAGCAAAAAAAAATTGGAAGGGGGAAGGAGAGGGGAGAGGAGGAAACTCCTTCTCTTCCCTCCCCCTTCCCCGTCATTCCTTTTTTTGCTCTCGTCCCAAATTTTCTCGACGAACTCGGGCGGAAACGCTTGCTACGCAGGCTAATAAAATTGTAATATAGTTACGAACTGGTACAACATGTAACAGTAATCTTAATGAAAATAAGGGAATTGCAATCAAAAAATTTAATTTCGCATTACAATTACAAACAACAACAACATCAAAAACAGAGGAAAGAAGTAAACAGATAACTAATTATAAGATTAGGTCCCGAATAGGCAACAGCAACGCACAATTTACGATACTTGCTTTTTGAGAGACTTTACTCTTTTAATTAGAGTGGGCGTATTGATATAGTTATCAGTCTAAACATCTTCAATTCGGATCTGATAGGATACATAACATTTCCTAAAGTAGATGCTCTTTGTCGTAAGAATGACAACTGATGTTTTTTTGGCATAGATTTAGAATCTTTAAAGGTACCGATTATTTTCCTCGCGTCGCAGCTATATCCATTTTATTAATTTTAAAAATGAAATCATTGTTGTAAACTTGTTCAGGGTCTCTCCTGGTAAAGCCCAAATAGGGTTTGCTTAGAGCTCCTACCCAGGTATAATATAGTCTGATAATATACAAATTTGAAGGGTATAGAGGATTTTACTTGAACCATGGAACATCATAACATATAGTGCAAGATAGTAAGAGGTAAACAAAGTAAACAAAAGAAGACAATGGATTAGGCCCTTTGCAACTAGCCATTCGCGTGGTACAAAGCCGCCATGCTGGAGAGCAAAAGAAGCACTGGGACAAGAAAAACAAAGAAAATTACTAGTTAAAACTAGAAATAACTAAAGGTTACGAAGTGCGGGGGAACAACGATCGAAGGTCAAAACGCTTTTGCTCCATCACTGTGCTAGTGTGCGTTGCGTAAGCTTCACTAGAGGAGTAGTCAAAACACGCTTGATCAGATTACGAGTGATAGAAGGTCCATACCGCCAGCTACGCAGACAAGAAGGTCCAAACGCGCTTGATCAAATTGCGTTGGGTGGATTCCATTCATTCTTAGTGGAAGTCCAAACGCATGCTGGCTACATAGATGCGAGGCATGCGTAATAACAACCTGGAGATTAGGATTGTGGGCTCCTCTTTTCGCCCGCAATTATATATGCCTTAGCTGTATGCCTTTTGTTTGTTTTGTCCCAGTGTGACTTTTGCTCTTCAGCATGGCGGTTTTGTATCACGTGAACGGCTAGTTGCAAAGGGCCTAACAATAGTGCGTAGTATTCGACTACCTATTTCATGGCTTAAGTAAAATCACTTTAAAACGTTGACATCAAGAAAAGAGGTATTGCATGACCTAGTCTACCCTAGAAATATAGTATCCGAGGAGCTCTTTACTTTTTGTAGTGTCTTTGAGGCCGTAACTCCTTATGACATTTAAGGGTGAATGAGCGATAGATAAATTTAAGAAGTATTTGCCAAGGTATAAAATGACGCAAGTTAATAAGCCAATTAAGTTACTGATTTTTAAAGAAACAGCATATACAATGTTGCAGCATATACAACGTCTTATCGTCGCTTTTAAATACAGGTACAATAATTTGTAGTCATTTTCGATTTCGAGGGTTATCTTCCTAGGTTAATAGATATACTGAATATTGAGTATTTTGACACTAAATATCATCTACGGCAATAAATAAAAAAAACGTGACCTCCTCAAATGTTTCAGGATTGTTTATGGTGTTTTGCCTGTTGTGACCAGTTACAGAGAAGGCCAGGGGTTGCGAATAGACCACAAAGCCACAAACTATTCTTACTACATAGTTTTTTTTATTCTTAGCCTGAAACGCGGATCGGAAAGT